TCATTCAACCATCCACCTGACCAGCAGGTTCCAGCTTCTTCTTGTCACCGTACTTGCACACGTTCTTGCTACTTTCCTCTACTTAGTGTTACAGATTACCTTTTTTGCCTGCTTTTATTCGCAGACACAGAAACAGCAGTCATTTCGGCTAATTCTTTCCATCTGTTTCTCATTCCCTTTTTCCCTATTTATAGCACGTCATTTCCCTTCATGTTTGTCAGTATGTTGTCGCTTGTGTGTCTGTGTGATGCATTATGTTATTCACCCTGTATCTGTGTCCAGGACTCCCAGTGAGCAAGCGTCCCGTTGTTTTGGAGTTTTTTTCTTTGATGCTTCCCCAGCATTCACCCATCTGGGCTACCTTAGTTTTGTTGCTTTTCCTGAGACCCTCTACTTAAATAAAGACTTTGTTTTTTCTGCATTTGAGTTCACCTCTGCTTTGCTCGTGACATCAGGTGGCCGCGTGCCCTGTCAGAGAGCGGCGTAAGCCATCTAAGGGCGGAGTAACGGTGAGCACGATGAACACACGTGCACTGCCCAGGGGTCGGGCGTCACTCCAAGCCAGGTTAAATGTTAAGAGTCTTGTTAAGCAGGTGTCTGCCCTTATTGATTCCGGTGCGGAAGGAGACTTTATGGACTTAAACTTTGCTAAACGACTGGTTATTTCTATGGTCACTCTGGATAACCCCATTTCAGCCAAAACACTTTGCGGCTCTCACCTAGCTGTTATAACACACTGCACTCACACTAATTCCCCGTACACTCACACTTTCAGGCAATCACGTGGAGCAGTTACAGTTTCTCCTTATTCACTCTCCCACGGCTCCACTAGTGTTGGGTCACACCTGGCTAGTCAAGCATAACCCTCATATTGATAGAGATGTGGAGAAGAAAGATGGATCTCTGCGCCCCTGCATTGATTATCGGGGATTGAATGATATCAAAGTAAAGAACCGTTATCCATTGCCACTGATGTCATCGGCCTTCGACCTCCTGCAGGAGGCAACCATCTTTACTAAATTAGATCTCTGCAACGCCTACCACCTAGTTCAGATGAGGGAGGGGGACGAATGAAAGATCGCCTTCAACACCCCTACTGGTCAAAGCTCTGATGTTTGCCTACAAAGTGACTTCTGGCCTTGCTCCTTTTTTTTTTTTTTTTAATTATTTTTTAGGGGTTTTTCACCTTTATTTTTGAAAGGACAGTAGAGAATATACAGGAAAGCATGGGGAGCAGAGAGAGGGGAAGGATCGGCATAGGACCGTGAGGCGGAATCGAACCCAGGTCGCCGCGAGCACCGGAGTGCATATGTCGACGCACTAACCACTACACCACTGGCGCCGACTGGCCTTGCTCCTTTTTATCTGCTCTCACTTCTGCAGATCTATGTGCCCTCCAGAAACTTGCGTTCTGTGAATGAACGTCGCTTCGTGGTTCCATCCCAAAGAGGGAAGAGATCACTTTCGTGAACGCTCACGCTCAATCTGCCCAGTTGGTGGAATGAACTCCCTAACTGCATCCGAACAGCAGAGTCACTCGCTATTTTCAAGAAACGACTAAAAACTCAACTATTTAGTCTCCACTTCACTTCCTAATCTGCAATTGCCTCTCTGAATATCACACTAACTGTACCCAAAAAAAAAAAAAAAATACTAATACTTCCCTTCTTAGACTTTACAGACCTGAAACTTGCCTATAGCACTTATTTATTGTTGCTCTTAGTTGTGTAAATTGCTTCCTTGTCCTCATTTGTAAGTCGCTTTGGATAAAAGCATCTGCTAAATGACTAAATGTAAATGTAAATTTTGAGTATCTTTTTATGCCCTTTGGGCTCTTGAATTCACCGGCGGTCTTCCAGGCACTCGTCAATGAAGTGCTCAGGGACATGGTAAATCGCTTTGTGTTCATCTGTCTCGATGACATTCTGATTTTTTCCCAGAATGAACAGGAGCATGTCCAGCACGTCAGGCGGGTGCTTCAGCGGCTGCTGGAGAATCGTCTATTCGCCAAGGTGGAGAAGTGTGAGTTCCATACACCGTCGGTTTCGTTCCTGGGGTTTGTTTTGTCGCCCGAGTGATTGCGAATGGATCCTGCCAAGGTAAAAGCTGTTGCGGATTGGCTCACCCCAGACAGTTGCAAGGCGGTCCAGCGGTTTCTGGGGTTTGCCAATTTTTACAGGCGATTCTTACCCAGACCAAGCAGAAAGTACACAATCATTTGTTTCTTTGTATAGTTTTACAGACAACTGTGTGCTAGTTTAAAGTGCTGAGCTTGACTGAGGTACCGGATGCGCTGCGACATGGCACACCGGATACTCTATGTGGCATGGCAGAAACATGAAGAGTGCCGATTCGCCGCACCACGCCTTTTAGAACTCTTCTAAACACACCGGTGCTTAAAGTCGGTGGCTGTCCGCTGTCCATTGTGTGTACCCTGATAGAAACCTATGTTTAGAATTTTAAAATGCATGGCGCTGCATCAGCGTCGTGCCACGCAGAGCAGCGCTTCTGGTGTGCGACCTGCAGGCAAGTTTATTTTTTTTACAATGGAGAGAAACGCGCATGCACTTTTCCAGCTGCACCTACTTAAGATCACAGGAAGCTTCTGTGACCTCGAGAAATGCAAATGGCTGAAGTTTAAGGTAGACGCAATGAAAAGTACACATGTTTGCAAACCTGCCTCAAGATACAATCAATAATTCCGATTATAGCAATTAACTGGTGAATGTTGATCTTGTTTTGAGCCCAATGAGACCGGGCATCTAAAAATAGAGCAAGGATGTTCCTTTAGTAATATCGCTTTGACTCCCGCTAAAAATGGTGGACATGAATCAACAAATTGAAGATATGGTGAAGTCAATCAATATTGGTGGGTGGGGGGACCGCACTCCTACGTCAAGTTGCTGTCGCTTTGAAAACTGCTCCATTTGGTCCACCGTTTTTATGTTGTTAAATTGAAAAAAAAGGACTGAGTATTTTTTATATCACCCCAATATGACTGTCTATACACTATACTTACACACCTGTCTGTCCAAACAGCTTCAAAAGTAGATTTTTTTTTACCATAGGTGCCCTTTAATCTCTCCTCTGGTTATCATACCCAGACTAACGGCCAGACTGAGTGCAAAATCCAGGAGATCGGAACGTTTCTCAGGTCATACTGCCACCAGGACCAATACAGCTTGAGCCAAGTATGCACAAAACTCACTACGCCAGGAGTCAATGACACAGAAAGCTTTTATGGTAATATATCTGCAGACTGTATAACTAAAAAAATACATAATCCATTGTAATATTTAATTAACAAATTAAGATTAACTTTGAATACTTAAGACAAGCAATCACACTTTTTATTTATGTAAAACTTAAATGAATTAAAAAAGACAATCAATTTATTGGAAGAAATATACTTTTTAAAATAAATACTATACACAACACAATTGAAGAACTTTTTACATTGTATCACGTTTGCTTGTATCACTACATGTTTGTATCTAGTTGTTGCTTTGCTTTTTCTTTCATGGAGTTAATTTTTGTGAATAACATTACCTGAATGTGTCAGTTAAATACAGTAGATAGTAGTTTTATGCTGTTTGGCATTATAAGCTTGTTCTGTTTGCATGATCATCTGTTTTGGCATCGAATCATTACAAAAATTCAAATGAGTAGCTTTGACATCACTTTGCAGGCCAATCAGCTGTTAGCATTACACTGGTCACTTATCGCATTTAACAATTTATTTTTGTTAAATACAGCAAAAGCCTACAACTTTTTGCAGTTTATTCAAGAATCAATTGACTAAATTTAAACAAATTTAAAATGCTTCTTGAATTATTTTAATGCTCCCATATCTATGTGTCTGTGGAAGCAGTTGGTGAAGAGTATCTTCTCCAAGCTGGACCTGCAGAGTGTGTACAACCTCACTCCTATTAGATAAAAAAGACTGCATCCACAAACATTTGGGCAGTGATTTTGATACTTCAGAAGTGTCTGAAACTTCTGCACTGCATTAAATCATCTGGATATTGGGTGTTTAAATGTCTGCATGACTCGCATAATTTATTTCTATAATAAAATGTGTGCGTGTGTGTATGTATATATATATATATATGTCCAATATATTATGTCCAATCAAACAAGATAAGCAAAGACTCTTCATATCTGAATCTTGAATCTGTGTCAATAAACATTCTGGTTTGTGCTTTCTTCTCTCTCATCCTACCTGTGTTGTGACAGTTAGATTGATTTGCTAATATTCACTTTATTTCCTTTTTAGATCTGATTGAAACCAAAGTTGTCACTTTTGAGCAGGCTAGGCTGAGTTAAGAATTTCATAGGTTGTAGATCCGCCATCTTGCCAAATCCAGTTAAGAGTTTCATCCCTGTACTTGTTTTTAATATTGGTGGGAGAAAAAAAAAGTTTCTCCTCACTATCATGATTCTTTTCAAGACAGATGGTCTTATTATTTATTGATTATTCTTACAGCACCAGCATTTCCCATATAATTATATTAGTGGGGTTTTTCATTTCTTTACTCTCTATGTATTTTGACCATTGTGGAATTCCACTCTGATGTTTTCTCCAACAGAGAGAGAGCATGCATCGCAAAATGTAGTGCATGAGCATTGATGCTAATCTTTAATTGCAGCATGCAAGTGGAATTGCATTGTCAGTGCGTGACCCATGTCATGTGACAATACCACAACACGGTATTATCACACTGTGTATTATTCTGAGCTATAAATTGGTTTGTTGTCAAATAAGTGGTGTGATTCAGTTTCTTTTGTCATTTTTTTGTTTTTCGTGTTACTTACCAGTTGTCCAACATGGTAATGGGACCAGTACAAACTCTCACAAAGTTTTGTAGCACCAGCAGGACAAATCCTCTTGAAGTGGAACCATTTGTTAACTCCCTGGAGCCCTGATTTATTTATTTATTTTTATTTTTTAATTGACTTTATGGTTCTCTTTTAATTTGTTGTTATGTTTTGACTTGTAGGGGAAACGAAATGGGATGTGCGTCATAAAGTATGGAACTACATTGAGGTGAAAAACCTTGCCAATTTTCCACGGCCTGTGCACAACAGAATTCCCAACTTCAAGGTATCATTCAAAAAGGTCCCAAACAAGTATCAAATTTTATGGATCAACTGGAGATTGTTAACTGTGGACGTGTGTTCAGACAAATTGTTTGTATTAAATGCTAACCGGTTTGTTGGATGTGAGTATCCATTAAACAAAAATGTGTTACTTTAAAGGTCCTTTGAAATGCTTTGAAACATTATTCATTGTGATGATGCCATTTCTACTGAAGCAGAAAGCCAGAGTGAGAGACACCTCTGTAGAGAAGCTCCCCTCTTTTAATCTTTAAGTTACCAATAGTAGTATACATCATAGCCTGACCTATCAAAAAGGCTTATTTCTTTAAATGATTGCATATACAATATTTAAGCACAGGCAATTCCAATCTTATAATTGTATCTAAACTAAGCAACAGAAAGTTTTAGCATATTAGAAGTAAAAAAACACTGTGTCTAAAACTAGTCACCACCCCGTTGATTGTGATCATGTATTTTATAGTATTTACTGAGTATTTGCACCCTCAGTTTGTCAGTTCAATTGAAAACGTAGGCAAAATAGTGAGCAGGCGCATGAAGTGAGATGTGCTCATGTTTTGCAGCTGTGGAGCAGCACATAAAACTCTCACTGCTTATAGAAAACAATCGATTTGATCAGCTGTAGTTAGAAATTAGGCTGTTTTATTCTTTAAAGGGCGATGACACCCCCCACTTTCGGTTAAAGTCTACTTCAGAATATTTTCAAAGTATGCATGATTAATGGGCGTGGAGCTTCGCGAGCATAGGGCAGGAGTGGGCGTGGCCAGCAAGGGAGAAGGGGAGCGAACAACTGTTGATGTCAGTTAGCTCACAAATTGAGACGAACCGTGAGGAGACGCATGAGTTAATAGTTTACAAAGTTAAAATGCAAAGAAATAAACAGGAATTTAATGTCCTGCTACATTTGTTATTCGTAATTTCATATACATACAACCACAATTTAAATCATTATAAAGATAATCGTGTTTATATAAACACTATAAATGAAGACTTCTGCCTCAATCCCCGGGTCTGAATCATAGATCTAAATGCAGACTCAGTGGAGCAGGTCTCCTGACCTGTCTATTTTAACCATTAGTCCTGCTGGTAATCTTGAGGATTTAGGCAAACACAGCAGCACGGCGATGTGTCTGAATGTGAATGAACTCCTGATACAAGACAACATCTTCCATTCTCCAATTCTCGTGCTGCCCTCCCGACAAAAATGCTTGCATCACACACACAGCTTTGCTGTATGATCGGCCCTGGCAGGATTGCGGGGAAAAACATGCAACACACCCCGTGGATCATGGAAACAAACACATACGAGCCTTCATAAACGGCTACTGCATGCCGTGGGTCCGTGTCTCACAGCTTGAGCTTGGCACTGGTCTGGCAGGTCTGCATCTGCCTTGCCTTCGGAAAGCGTGTCCTGTCGTGCTCTCATGAATAATTAAGCAGCCGGCTCTTCTCATAGGATAAGGAAACTCCGCTTTGAATAATAATGAGAAACTGACGCGTCATCATTGCACTTGCGGTACTTCGGTACGTCGCCGATTTTGATCCCGCCCCAAAAATCATTTTAAACCCAGAAGCTGAAATTAGCTGACAAAAGCTCAAAATCATCCATTTTGCCCCACAATTAAAGCTGACAGGTGCTAACATTGTCTTAACTACTGCTCAACACATACAAATCTGTTAATATATTTTAAAAAATGTTTTCCAGGGTGTCCTGAACTTTTAAGGGCTTGTTATGCAGTCTTTGTCACCATCTAGTGGATGAACAAAGTCAACCGTCTTTGCTCAGTTCAATGAAATGCTAAAGGCTGGTGATGTGCTGTCTCTGAGAAATTATAAATATTTTAAAATAGGCACTATCCTTATAAATAAACTGCATAGTTGCAATCTACACAACTAGATCACTGAATATAAAAACTGTGTTGTCCAACAGCAGCAATATTTGTCAAACTGTACAGTGTCCTCTGCTTGTCGCTGTATGTTGGTGGAGTAATAAACAAGGGTGAAGGGTTAAGAGGCTGGACGAGTGCTGTTATTTGCAGAATATCGCATGACTCTGATTCAGATTCAAGAACCAGACAGAACTGTTGTGTGTGTGTGTGTGTGTGTGTGTATATATATATATATATATATATATATATATATATATTTATATATATATTTTATATATAATATTTTTATATATTTTGTAACTGAAAAATCACAATGCATAACGACTTGAAATTCGTGCATTTTGAAATCAACTTCTATGTAGTAAAGCATATGCAACCGCTGCAAAATATTTTGTCATACACTGGCTTCTCCCCTGTAAAAATTCCACATGAGAAATCCAACTTCTTTTCACATATTGAATATGAAAAATATACACTGTATAAATAAAATATTATAGCATGAATAATACTGTAAAGGCAAACATTAAGTGAATCTATAGCCAAAGTACTGCTCTCTCTAAACTAAAAGTGCAAACAGAAATAATGTTTTTCTTCAAGCCTAAAAAGAGATATTAACTACCCAGAACAGATAAGAAAAGGTCATAAGATACATGACTTTATATGTAATCTTTTTCAAGATTATAATCATGTCAATTTCGGGCAGCAGTTAAGACCTTTGCATCACAGTGTCTTTGCATAGTGCTCATGTTAGCCACAGTAAAGGCATTGTTTTTTACAGTGTTTACATATTGTGTTCGTCTTGTCCGTCACTCTTTCACCGTTTCTAACTTCTACTGAAAAACCAAAATTTTGCCACTCAAATTATTTAAAAGTGGCAGGGGCATTTTCAATACTAACTGCACCCTCACCAATAGTATCTAGATGCAGCCTTTATGATGCATTTATCTTTATAAGATTGCATCACTCAACAATAGCCAGACCCCTCTTACACTTATGCTCCATTGTGCTAAGTCACTTCTTTTTGTTGGGTTAGTGATGATTAGCAGAAAATTCAAATGGTGCATTATGCTAATTATAAATCACGAGGCAATTTTTTACCTCAACGAGAAATCTTGTCGTGAATTGATCTCATGAGATTTCGTAAAACGAAGTCTTGCCCCCCCCCTAATATATACACTATATATTCTATCCATTTTCAGGGTGCACTGGAGGCATGTAATAAGGTAGCACAATTAGAGATCTTCATCGAAAGTGCTGTAGTCAAGGTGGATCCTGACAAACCAATGGAGGGGGTTCGGTTAGCTGCTCTGAAGGTATGCTGATTATGATTGCTAGAAATTGTGGAGACATTTTTTCATTCTTCATTGTAATTGTAATTATTTACAACATTTAATTTGGATTTTATGTCCTATTTTACATTTTAATAAAGGCAAGAAAATCCTTACTTGTTCCAACACCTCGTCTAAGATTTGGGTTATTTAACAGAATAACTCCACCAAAAGGTGCAACTAAAGAAACACTGCGTGTTTGTTCTACTTCTCAGGTGATGTCTTGTTTATAAGGTTTTGTGCATGCACTCTCTCTCTCTCTCTCATCTGTTTGAAGTTAAACATTCTTTCTGTGCAAGGGTATCAAAGAGTTCAGTGTCCCTGTTGGTTTAGATGACAAAGTTCAGGTGGATCTTGTCGTAGTTGGGTCTGTGGCTGTATCTGAAAAAGGTAAGGAAAACACATTAAAAAACTTGATTATCTTGTGTCTGTTTTCCATAACAGAAATAAATGGTGTACAATGTATTAAGGTTACAGAATTGGGAAAGGAGAAGGTTTTGCCGACATGGAATATGCTATGATGGCATGCATGGGATCTGTGACTGAATCCACTTGGGTCATTACTGTTGTTCATGATTGCCAGGTTAGTAATGTAGTCTGTAATAACTCTTTGAGTTTCTTAAAACAAAAAGATAATATATACAAATAATAAAATGCAATCAAATTATAAATAAAAAATAATAAAACAAAGCTTTGTGTGTGTGGTGGCACATTCATCAGACTGCAAAAATAATTAGAACAAAGATAAGCACTGAGAATGAGTGTGTGTGGATATTTCCCAGTGATGGGTTGCGGCTGGAAGGGCATCTGCTGCGTCAAAACATGCTTGAGTTGTCGGGTCCTTCCGCTATGGCGACCCCAGATTAATAAAGGGACTAAGCCAAAAAGAAAATGAATGAATGAATTAGCACTGTAAAAAGAGTCAGTTGTTGAACAAATCTGAGAAACTGGTATGTAAAAAGTTTACCAGTGATGTAGCATAACGTAATTTGATTAACTGTTAGATTTAGAACCCCGCGAATCATTCAGAAGCCACTGGACGTTTGAGCAACACAGTCTTTTGACCTATGCAAACTGCAAAGTTAATTTGTAAGAAATGTAAATATCCTGCGTTTTTCATGCGTTAAGATTTACAATTAAACAGTCAAACAATGCATTATTGCAACAAATAAAGCCAGATGTAGCATTTCTAGAGAGTAAATTGTCTGCTAAATGAGACATTCCCTGAAACAGGTCAGATATTTTCGTCATGACTCGAATAGCCATCGTCTAAAAGTTATAGTTTGTGTGAGGATTTTAAAGCGACATAACATGGCAGATGAAAGCGCAGCTGCGAGTGTTGGCCAAAAGAGGGCACCAAAGCCCACAGAAAAGGCTGAAGAGACGAAAATACACAGGCTCAAAGGAGAACTCAAGGAAAAGTTGCCACAAAAACCAAACAGAAGAATGATTTAGCCAAATTGAAGGAAAATGTTAACACAATGTTAACTTCATTAAAGATGAAGAATTGCTACAATTCAAAAGATGCTTAAACAGTATAAACGACTTAATGAAGAGTTGTGTGAGTTAATAGATGAAGATAATAAGCGGATCAAGATGCTTATGAGAACAAATTTTTGGAATTTCAGCAGTTTATAGAAGACACAAACAAATGGATTGCAGATGTCCTAAAACAGGGGTTTTCAAACTTTTTCAGCTGAGGGCCCCTTTGTGTAGGGCGAATTCTTTCGGGGACCCCCAAAAAATAAATATCACGCCACCCCCTCAAATTAACAACTGTACTTAATTTTTTTAAATTGTATTATTCAATACATTTATATTATTATATATTATTCAATAAATTTATATTATTTACTATCTGGATAAATTTTTGTAAGATGTTAGTTGAGTTGACATGGTTTCAGTGCTTCAATCTATTGAACAAATCTTCATGCGCAGTGTTCATTGTGGTCTTCTCTCACTGGATTCCATCAAGCCATATTTTGTGTTCGAGTCATCACGTTTACAGTTTTTTATGCCATTTTTATGCTTTTTTTCTGCCTATGCACAGCTAGACTCTTCTGTATTTACCCTTACAGCTGAGACTCTAAATGTATCTAAAGATTTAAAGTTTTAAAGAGTTTTGTCATTCATCAGCCTGTTAACAGTTACCTGTACTGTTGTAACTAGCAATACTACAATGGAGGCTGTAGTGGTTCAGTGTGTTTTGTTTATTTTTATCCTTTTTTTTTTGTGCACATCATAATTTACTCAGGTCGACAATCCTGACTTACACTGATAAAAAATAATTTCCTAAATGCAATCTAGATGTGGGTATTCAAGTTCAAAAAGCCACAAATTTTACTTTGCTTAATTTTAGAAGCTTTGCTGACTTTAAAATGTCCATACCAGTGTGTTCTATTAATAATACTGAACATTACATTTAAATTATTTACACAAATAAATATGGGGAAAAAGTGGAACATCTTGAAAAAAATGCTTTTATATTCAGAGTATTAAAATTTGATCAGATATGTTGAGCTCCATTAAATACAGAGCACTAATACATTTTAATTTTTAATAATTAATTAGCCCTATAACATAACACAAATAGATACATGATAATTTTTATAGGCTATAGTGGTTTTATTCAGGGTGTATACAATTTAGTTTTTTTAATCATCCAGTTATGAACCAATGTGAGTAAGAGGTTCACTGCAGAGCTCATCCAGCTGTCATTAGTGTAACAGGAGTGAAACTCTGAGCACTCGCTGATGTGATGACAGCTCCATTCATTGTTATTGCAGCACTTTTTGCTTTACAATTTTAATGTTTGTTTGCCATGCTGCAAAGAGAACCGTCTGATATTTGTACAATGCAAAGTGAAAAGCCTGTCGCACTTTGGACGAGGTGCAATGTTGTGCCGTGTCTTTAAAATGCTATTTGTTCCCCATGAGTGAAGCCTGCGCAAAGAGGCGCGCACTCCGCAGCACCCAGCTGATCGATTACTTAGCAACGCAAGCCATATACAGGGAGTGCTTTCAGCCTCCGATAATGTTCATATTGATCATGTATTTTAACTGAAATATTGTCAGTAAATAGTCCTGAGCATTCATTTAGTTGTTTAGGGTAAAAGAGGTTAGCGTAAGTGAAAGGTAAATGCAGTCAGGTGCAGCAGACAAGCGCCAAAAATCACAGGAAGTGCCCGACCAGAAGCGCTTATTCAATAAAAGTCCCCCGTGCACAGAGGCGGGCTGCTGCGCTTCTTTTCCTGTTTCACGAAAGTGTCAAATGCATTTAAATGACATAAGCATAAAGCTTAATTTTTGCAGTACTTTTGAGCTCAAATTATTATAAAAAATATATTAACCTTCAGAATGATGCAGGACACAAAATTCAACCATGTGGGCCCATTGATTAGCCCTTATCTAAAATTTTTTGCTGCCCCCCTAGCGCCATCTGGCGGCCCCCAGCCCCCAGTTTGAAAACCCCTGTCCTAAAATATGAGGAAGATAAAATTAGTCCACGTGATAGTGTATCCAAAGCTTATTCCATGGTAAGCCGGACTTCCAGTACTACTTCTGCAATGTTGAAAATTAAAGCTGAACGTGAAGCACTGTTGGAACTCACAATTGGAGTTTGTAACTGAGCTTGCTGCTTCAGACGCCAAACTAAAGGTGCATGAAGAATTTAAAGATTTTCGTGAATCTAATTGTGTTTTATCAGAGCTACCTTCAGGACCCCAATTGGAACCCCTGATAGTTAAATAAGAAAAACACGAGGTAGACGACAAAGTGCCAGCCACTGAAGTTGGTTCTTCAGATAGAAGAGAGTCACCGTCAAGGTTTGATGCCGTCAGCAGCACGCCACATCTTAATTTTCATGATCACACTGATTTTTCTACAGACAGTCTTCACAAAGTGTTACAGCATCAAAACAAGTCACTGAGATGCTCATTAAACAACAGAATTTGTCTTAACTCCCTCAAAAAGACATATCAACATTTACAGGAGATTTACAGATCTTTTATAAAGGCATTCGAGAATGCTATCGACAGTAAGACAAGCAGTGATCAGGACAGGCTGTACTACCTCAAACAGTTCATGAGTGGAGAGCCACTTGATCTCATTCAGAGCTGTAAGCACATGAAACCTGACGGAGCTTATAAAGAAGCCAGAGAACTGCTTGATCATCACTATGAAGATGAAATAACCATTGCTACAGCTTATAACAAGAAGGCTATGAAATGGCCTCGAATAAGGTCGAAAGACAGAAATGGATTGATTGCCTTTGCTTTGTCCTTGGTTGGATGTTGTAACATAAATGATTTTGGATTACATGTACGAAATGAACAATGCTACCAACATGAGGTCCATTTTATCCAAACTTTCATTCAAACTGAAGGAAATATGGAGAAGTTATGCTTATGACATTCAAGAAAAAACAAGACAAAGAGTCAGGTTTCCTGATGTAGTGGAATACGTGTACAGACAAACAAAGGTTGCAAATAACCCGTTGTTTGGAGATATTGTTGTAAATGTGTCTGCTACCAAAAATAATGTCAGTAAAAGCCAAACCTGAGAAGATACGTTTTGCAGCCAAGTCAGCAAGTGTATTTCAAATTCCCTGTCTTTACTGTCAGAAGAACCATGCACTGAATGCATGCAACAAGATTCTAGAACAGCCTCTGAAAGAAAGAATTCAGTTCTTGAAAACAAAAGGCCTTTGTTCTGGGTGTCTAACAGCAGGTCCAAGGACTGTAAAAAAAGGGCTTCTTGTCCAGATTGTTAATTCAAGCACCTAGTTATTTTGCATGTTGTTAAGAAAGATGCTTCATCAAAGAACAACAATTCAGACGACAGGTCACAAAGAACGAGTGAAGTCACAAGTGCTCTTGTGTTTGCAGGGTGCAGAAAGAGGGACCATACTGGGGCTGGGAACAGTGAGTGTATACTTCCCATTGGCTGGGTTGTTAAAGGGCCAATTAGCAAATGCCAAGAAAAAGAATTAGATAATGACAAAAGACAAAATTTCTTTGCCAGTTGTATATCTGTTTTAAGTGTTGAGGACATGCTGATGAAGCACTATAATTCAGATTTTTCTGAAAGAAGATGTGACTACAGATGAGAACAGTCACAACATGACAGACAGTTCATGCATACTGTTACAACATTAGCTCAGATCGTGGATGGTCACTTCTGCATTAAGTAGCCTGTGAAGGATGACAAGATGAAGATGCCATTTAACCGTGGTATTGCTGAACAGAGGCTTAACTCCTTGAAGCGGAAGTTCAGTAAGAAAAGTTTTCTTTCAAGAGTAGGCTTTTATGGAAAACATACTGGAAAAGGGCTACACAGTAAGGATACCAAAAGAACAGTTGATACACTGTGATGGAAGGGTATGGTTTATTC